TTACATTTACATTACACAACTTAATACAAATTCTATGCTAATGATCCGGCAGTTCTGTTACTTCCTCCATGAATAGTTCTCTGAATTGGACGGTGAAAGGAATTAGACGACACAGAAATTTCACAGTCTATAAAATGTTCAATAGATGATTTGTCTTTAAACGCTGTTTTTAAATATGGAAATCTGAATATTATAGCTCAAAATATAACAAGTATATATTGTAATTTTGATAGTCTATTAATACACTTAGCGCAACTAAAACCTTGTATTGATATAATAATTTTGACGGAGTGCGGTGAGATAAAAATAAACCAATTCCCACTTTACATAGCTACAGTTCCTATTCGACAAATACTCAGTTAAATCAAAACGATGGTGTGGTAGTTTACATAAAGAATGTTTACAGAGCACTTGTCAAGGAAATAAATTTATACAAAGCTTCATGCTTACAAATAACTACAAATCAATACACAATTTTAGGTATATATCGTTCTCCTTCCATCACAAAAGCTGACGAATTTATTCACTCTATTGATTTACATCTAAACTCAGTTAAAACTATTCATATTATTATAGCGGGTGACATTAATATAAATTTATTACCTATTATGTGTGAACAAAGTTATGAAATAAATAACAGTAATCTTTATCTGACCGCTTTGGTTACACATAAAATACTTCCAGACCACCATTTTCCTACCAGAAAATTGCGTTGTTTGGACCATTTTATGCTAAAAATTGATAAAAAAAGAACAACTGCTTTCGCCGCAATTCTCGATACAACTATAACAGACCACAATATTAGCCTAGTGGGCAATAATAGTTTAAGCAAGTCTAATAAAACGAAATCTGTAACTGGCTGTAATGCCGCCTTAAACAGTCTAAATTTAAACTTTTTTCACGATTTATATTTATGACGTGGTGTACAATGTGGCGCAGTGGCTTTGCAATGAGTTGCTGCGCTGGGGGCCGTGGGTTCGAATCCCGCATGTAGCAAGTATTTGTATGGCCTACAAATAATTGTTCCTGCTCTAGATGTCTGTCCTTGTGAAATTTATGTTTGTAAACTGCCTCCACGATACAGGAGAAAATCCTAGTGTTACGTTTTTAAAAAAAAGTTATTTAAAAAAATAAAACAAAGGTCCAGACCTAAACACTAACTAATATATTGATCGATAAAATATCTATTGCATTAGTTAAACACACCAAAATTTTAGCTGTTCCTGGGACAAAGAGATTTGTCAAGCCCTCGATGACAGAAGGCATATTTCGATGCATAAGAAACAGAAACGCTACTAAATACTAGCTGGCCAGGCAGACGTTGTTCTGCCCTTTCCTGAGATAACCCTTTCTCCATTAAAAAAATCCTTAAATTTCAGCCAACAGACTTCAAATTATCGGTAAACCATCTAGGCAAAATATTGGCATGGACGTTATTTCATCATTGCAATGAATTTCGGCGAATATTTTAGTTCCACGACTTGCCGCACAACATTTGTAGGTCGCTACTTCTCGGCGTATATGAGCGCAGTCGAATATACACAATATTCGACTTTTTTCTCCATCTATTACTCCGCGTATCCTGTTACCGTATATTGTAGACATTTTTAAAGTTTTGTCAACTTATATCAATGATTTAATTACAGCCGCAAAGTGAGCTCACGATATGGGCTGTACGGGGAAGTAAAGACGAAAGGGGGAAGAAGCACAGTATAAATATATAGTAGAAACAGTGCGGAAACTACCTATAAACCCTCGAAACGGCACACTCACACAAACATGCGCAACGACAAGACTTCTAAGCGCTCGTCGCGGTGCTCTCAGTAACTAGTTCGTCTTGCCTACTCTTATATAAAAAAATAACAAAGATTTTTCGCAAGGAATCTTACTCCCGACAGCTCATCAAGTATGACAGTTGCTCTACGAAAACTACTATGATTTCATACGGGATAGGGACGGTCTCAAGGTCAACGCATTAAGTGAGTGAAACAATTAAATCATATACGGAATATACAGAGTCCCATATCGTTTCCGTATGAATAAACGCATGAAGTGAGCAAAACATAGGAACCATATACGAAATATACAGAGTGCCACATCATTTCTGTCATAAACGGACGCATGAAGTGAGCAAACCATACGAACTATATACAGAAAATACAGAGTGTGTATATAGTTCGTATCATTTCCGTCGAAACTTTTTTTAATATTTCATAAAGTTTATGAAATATCAAAAAAATAGATGGAATGGTAAGTGCAGCGGAAGAAGTGTGTGGAACAATAAAAAGAGGCAGTAGTAAAAGAAGAGATGCATGGTGGAATGATGAAGTGAAAGAAGGTGTAAAGAAGAAGAAGAAAGCATGGTTAGACTACTTGGCCTCTAGTAATGATAAGGATATGAGAGAGAAGATGAAAGAAAGATATAGGCTGCAGAAAGTTCACACGAAAGCACTGATTGAGGAAGTGTGTGAAAGGTGTAGAATGGAAGCGGACGAAAGGTTGTCGCACAACTTTAAGGAGAACTCCAAACTCTTCTGGAAAGAGGTTGGAAGGGCCCGAAGTGGTGCGACGGCCTTAAGAATGAACAAAGTGCTTTCGAGAACTAATGACGTCCTCTCAGAAAAATCGGACTTCATGCAGCGATGGAGCGAATTTTATAGAGAAATGTATGCGTGTGATGATCTTAGTGAGGGATCCGGGGATGACGCCGTGACTGGTACGCCAGACCCGGACCTCGATGACACTGAGGTCATCAGTATGAAAGAGATTGAACGTGCGATTCGAAGTTTGAAATGTGGTAAGGCTGCGGGACTAGACAGAGTTACTGCTGAAATGGTCAAGTATGGTGGGCCTCGCGTCTGGGACAGCTTTCGTCTGCTGTGCAATTTGTGCTGGCGGACGGGGGATGTCCCGAATGATTGGCGATCCGCAGTTATTGTGCCTTTATATAAAGGTAAAGGTTCACATTTTGACTGCGGGTGCTATCGGGCGATCAGCTTGACCAGTTTAGCAAGTAAAGTTTACTCGAAGGTTTTGACACGTAGGATGCAAGAGAAATCGGAAAGATTTCTATGGGAGGCACAATGCGGATTTAGACCTGGAAGAGGATGCACGGATCAAATGTTTTCTCTCCGCATGATCACGGAAAAGCTTCTGGCTGCTAACCAGAAGATTTTCTGTGCTTTTGTGGATCTTGAGAAAGCATTTGATAAGGTTGTAAGGAAGAAAATGTGGGAACTGTTGCCGGGGTATGGTGTGGATGGTCAATTGCTAAGGGCTGTGCAGTCTCTTTACTGTGACTGTAAAGCCTGTATGCGGGTAGGGCATGACCTGTCACCTATGTTTAACGTCCAAACGGGCGTAAAGCAGGGTTGTGTCATGTCTTCCTGGCTGTTCATACTGTATCTCGACAGCTGTTTACAGAAGCTGAAAGATAGTTGTTTGGGTGTGAAATTGGGTGACATTAAAGTAAATTGTCTGCTGTATGCTGATGATGCAGTGCTTATTGCACCATCAGAGGCAGAACTGCAGGCATTAGTCACGTGTATGAAAGAGGAATGTGAAATTAAAGGTCTCCGTTTGAATGCTAATAAAACTAAGGTTCTGGTATTTGAAAGGGACGAAGAGAGAACGAAGTGTGAAATGTGTGGTAAATGAAATTGTATACTTGGGGAGTGCTTTTAGCCGGGATGGAAGATGTGATTTAGATGTGGACAGGCGTGTCGCTGCCGGGAACAAAATCAATGGTGCCCTGGCTGCGTTAGTCAAAAGGCAAGGCGTAGCGAAGAGTGCACGCCTTGCAATACATAACGCAGTGTTGGTACCGACTTTGTTATATGGCAGCGAAACCTGGGTATGCCAGAAGAAGCATAAAAGTAAGATGAATGCAGTGGAGATGCGATCTCTTCGTAAAATGTGCGGCGTTACCATGGCCGACTGAAAGCGAAACGAAGAGATTCGCAATATGGCAGGTTTGAAAGATGACCTTATCACAAAAATTGATAAGGGCGTGCTTCGGTGGTTTGGGCACGTTGAGCGAATGAGTGAAGACCGAATGGTGAAGAAAATATATAGCGCGAAAGTTAATATTAAAAGGTGTCGAGGTAGACCGAGACTAACTTTCGAAGACCATGTGAGCAAATTGCTCGAAGAGGGTAGGGTCAAAAGTACTCGGATACTTAGACGTGCATGGATGAAGAAGATAATGAATCTGAAAGAAGCGAAAGAGGTATGTAAGGATCGTGACACTTGGCGATCTGTTCTCTCTGGCTACCCCGTCAGGGATTGTGCGTGAAGATAAGTAAAAAAATAGAGATTATCTGATTTTTGATTTCTTAAAAAAGGTTGCATGTTGTCCTGATAGTTAGATCCTTCCTGGCCATTGTTGTCTCTATGTTCGTAGAAATTCGGTTCAGCTATTCTGTAAATTAGCCCAGACAAACAGACGGACGAAAATTTGGAAAATGGTTTTGGTATATATTTAATAGTTTTCAAATAACCCATAACCCCGAGTATAATAAGTAGAAGCCAATTATTCCGATATTACATAAATACCCTTATTACATTAATACTGCTTATTATATAATTTTGTGATGATCTGTTAAATTATGCCAAAATAAGTATATTTAGTGACTTATTTAGATATATTAATCCACAGATAACTGTATACTAGTCAGAGATATTAATCTATGCACTAAATAACAACGTCAAATATTATTACGCTAAGCTAAGCTTCAAATATAAATTAATGTAGTGTAGTAGAAAAATAATTATTTACGCAATGTAAATTTTAATAAGTTTTCTTAAAATGGTATAGTTTTGTGCAGATAATGTGTCCCCTAAAGGCCCGATATATCCATACATTTTTTCTCTTAATATCATTTATCGACGTGCAAGATAAATGTAAAGCTAGTTTTTCTTCGTAAGTTTACTTTTACTATTCAAGTAATTTTACAAACAAAATGATCACGAAAATTATTGATTTTTCTTTTTTTTTACAGAAACTTGCTACCTTTATGGACGTGGGAGTGTGTAAACGAAAAATGTTTGCCGATGAAAGCAACAATCTCCGGAAAACTTCAGTCTTTAGTCACGTGCAACATGTTATGTTCTACCATTCAACTTTGGCCTCAACCTACTGGCTCTGTGAGTTTATCGACCACTGCCGTACCCGTGCGTGCTGATTTATTCCAATTACAAGTGATGGGCGTTACTTCTCGACCTGTTAAGCAACATCTGCAGGATGCGTTTGAAATATTTCGTCAGGAATTACGTTTTACAGAACAAAAAATACGTGGGTTTGAGGAGTGGCAAAGGGTTATTGTACGCGTAGGTATCAATGGAAGTGCAGACCCTCGCATGCGTCTCGACACTGATGAGAGTTATCGCATGTCAATACAGCCTAAGGAAGGGAGCGGCGGTATCATGATTGTGGATATAGCTGCGAAGTCGTTTTGTGGAGCTCGACACGGACTTGAAACTCTTGCACAGATGATATGGCTAGATCCTTACGCTGGGTCTTTGTTAATGATGGAAGCTGCTAGCGTGGAAGATGCACCACGATTTCGTTATCGCGGTTTGATGATAGATACATCCCATAACTATTTCCCTGTTCACGAACTTATTCGCACAATAGATGCCATGGCTACATGTAAATTAAACACTTTTCACTGGCATGCTACCGGTGCTCAAGGTTTTTCAATAATGTTTGGTAGTGTACCCCAACTTGCTCAGTATGCGGGTAATGAACACGCCGCCATGTACACTCCAGAAGATGTACGCACAATCGCACGATATGCTCGGCTTAGAGGTATTCGCGTGCTCTTGGAAGTCGACATACCGGCACAAATAGGTCATGCATGGGATTGGGGTCCCACTATTGGCCTCGGAGAACTGGCTCATTGCATGGAATTAGAGCCGTGGATCGCATATTGTGACGAACCGCCATGCGGTCAACTTAATCCTCGTAATCTACACGTTTATGAAATACTGGAGCGTCTCTTCCTGGAAATTATTCAACTTACTGGCGTAGACGATCTTTTTCACATTGGTGGGGATGGGGTCATTGAACGTTGTTGGGCTGAAGTCTTCAACGACACTGATCCTATGGAAATATGGCTCGAATTTACACGGAAAACATTGCAAAGTTTAGAAAAGGCTAATAGAAAATTACCTAATCTCACGTTGATCTGGTCATCTCAGTTGTGTGAAAGAATTAAATCGGATTTGAAAGAATATGTTCATGGCATTGGATTACAGGCCCGAAATGTTGCATGGAACGAAAACTATATTAGTGGTCTGAGAACTGTTTTATCTAATGAAGACGCTTGGGACTTAAACAACGGAATGGGGGCATGGTACGAAGATGCACAAGGTGCACCATATAATTCTTGGCAGAGGATTTATGAGCATCGACCATGGTCACGGAGTACTCTGGGTTGCTTGGAAGGTGGAGAAGCAACTGTGTGGTCTTCAACGTTGGGCGCGGGTGGATTGGATGCTCGCGTTTGGCCACGAGCTGCCGCGTTGGCTGAACGTCTGTGGGCAGATCGTCCCGAGGGCGCTACGCGACCGGTGCAAGCGCGTCTAGATGTTCACCGCACACGACTCGTCACGAGACACAACATACAAGCCGAACCCATGTGGTCCATGTGGTGTACCCAGAATACTTACACCTGTCGTTAAATTTGTTCACATATTGGCTTGAACTGAATCATACCCATTTCATGAAAAGCATCTGATCACCACTCTCTATATTATAATGAAAATAGTTTTCTTTTTTAAAAATAATATAATTATGCTAATAAGGAATTCAATATTCGAAACATAACCGTGGAGTGGAGGCACAAAAAATCTATCAACCCAGCTCCCATCTCATTTTGTGCGTGTTGTACGCGGTGCTCAAGTAAAATGCCTGGAAATACTTGTGGTCTCGCTAAGATGACAGTAAAATAATTAGACCAGCGACGGAAAGCTACGTCAAAGATGAGAGAAACCAGCTAAACGTAGTGATTACGAGAAATCTCTGCTATGGGAGAGGCTTATGTACATAAAATCATTACAGGCTGATTTGAATGAAGAGAACAAAAAGGCCATACTGTTTCTTTGAATTATAGTTTATTGTAAATTTTATTTACTTCCGTCTCTGTATGTTTATGAGGGCTTTATGTACGTCCTTGCAATAAATTGAACTATCCTATAGTTAGTTAAGCCCAATCTAAAACATATCTGTTAATCAAATCTATAAAAATGTGTAATAGCTGCTCTACGGCTGAGGCTCTCCGACGCTTCGGCCATAAAACTATATATGCTTAGTCGTCAAATCGAAGGTGAGTGATGTACTCACCATTAAGATAGATACCATATCCTTTCAAGTTATGTTCAAGTTGGACCAAAATACACATAGTGTGCAAAATTTCATTGAAATCAGTTCAGTAGTTTAGGTGTCCATCGCGGACAAACAACGTGACACGTAATATTTATATATAAAGAATATTTTATTACTCAAAATTTTACAAGAGAAGATTAAAATAAATATTATACATACAGAATACCAGCGTTAAATAGCAGCTTCGTGCTGCTGTGTTTCGTATGGTGAGTGTAGAGAACCGGAGACCCTTTTTACTGGAAAAGAGTCATTCTATCTTAGTCCTCACGCCTGACAACGCATCTGCATTTTGATTCGCAAACGAGGATAAATGTAGATGTCTATGGGCCACAACAACCACTTACGGTTACTACTCGGAGGTTTTTGTTTTATTATTGAAGTGACAAATGAACTTACAAATCCACCTGATGGTTTCTACAGTTAATGAACACCTGCAGTCAACTTCAAACAAAGGAGTACAGATGCGTTGTTACCTTTGGGAACTAAGATAGAATGCCTGTAATTATATTTGTTCTCAATATCCTTCAGACCAGAACTCAGCAGTGCGACCTGACCCAGATGGACTCCTGGCGGATTCCCAGGAGTCCTACCACCTAGTTCATTTTTTCACTCTGTCTATTTCAACTAACAATATAATATGCACTCTTTACATACTTGAAAGACTTTTAGACGGATCTTATTAAATTTTAATAAATATGTTAATTTAGACTGTCACTATATTATTACGCGAGTAACAGCTAACATCTAGATGTGCGACTCGAAGGGATAAAACGTAGTGATTATAATATTATAATTAAATATTATAATATAATCTTTGTGGCAAGAGAGTACAACTAAACTAGCTTCCTCACTGACCTCTATTACACAAGTATCAAGTACCTACTAAAAACTACAGTACAAAATCACATTACTCTTATCATCCAATAGTGTAAAAATTAAAACGAGATAATTGACTTTTAAATTGAACTGTATTCTCATAAATTATAATATTTGAGTAAAACATTTTATACATATTGTCATTTTTTAAGAACATGAGGCGGTAAATATTAAAACATATTTTTTGCCAAGCCCTAGCCTTACGAGGTTAAAATTAATAGCTACTGTTTAGGCCCAAAAATGGTCATTTGAGACGGCATCCAATCGCCTTCGACTTAATGAATCGCCCGATGGTGTTAGGTGTCACGCGAGTAGCGGGGAGGGGGCATCGGTATGCCGCTTCCCAGCGTTTGGCTCTCGTGGGTGAAAACAGTAGCTTGAGTGCAGCGACGCCGTCGCAACGTAACTTATTTGTGGTGACCGTGGCAGCGATTTCGTGCGACCAGTTTTGGTTTTATGGTCTAGATTTTCAGTATTTGTGCGAGTTACTTCGCTACTTAAATTGTGTTTCGTGAAGACTGCCTCGGATTAGGTTGTCTAAGTATTGCAGTGAGTCTACTCGTGCCGCGTGTTACGTTTTTGATTATAATTAACGGGGTTTAGTTGAGTTTTGAAGTTAGTAAAATGTACAATAAAGTTGCTAGACTGACATAGTGAATTGAAGAGAGAATCATTGTGAGAAACTACCGGCTGTAAAGGACGCGTTTGGAATTATAACGTCGATTTAAGTGCCTCTCATTTTTGTTTGTTTTACGTGTCAACGAGGCTGAATTTTGAGTTTGAGCGATTAATTAACGTCGTTACAATTAATTAGCGTCAAGTGGTATAGCGGTTGCATGCATAAGTGCTTTCTGACAATATTAATTCGCGTCAACGAGTTGCTTTGTGCCATTTGATTTAACTCGGAGATATTTTCCTGTGTCGGCTAAAACCGCTAAACTTTGTGATCCGCGAGAACCAGCGTTTGTATTAGATTATAGATTTGTACTAATGGACGCTAGACTTTGAGTGACACCAAGTGACGCCGCTGGAGTGATACCACATAGAGTGGCGGTGCTGGAGTCAGGGTTGCTGCTGATTAACAGGGGCTAATTCAGGTTAAACATATATACACTTCTCACATACTACTTACATTCAGTACACTTAACGCCTGAACGAGCCTTGTGGTCTTTCTTCGCTTCTGAACCAGGTAAGTGGCACTAAGTACCTAATCTATATATATTAAATATCCATAGGCATTTGGGCCCCGTCCTTAGTTATCCGTCGTGTCTACAGCTGTATGGGCCCCTGTATAGTCGACATTTGTCGGGACAGCTAGGGGCGTGTACATTTTGGTAGCAAGCAGCGTGGTTAATTGTTCTCCAATTACCCTCGGTCGTGTTAGAAAAATAAAAATATTATTTTTTCTTCCTTTTTTTGCTTTTTTTTGTTTGTCAGGGCTAGGTACTTACGCGTAAGGTATTTTGAGTAGGTAGATAATGTTATCACGTAATTGGATAATTATTGTTATCGTATAATTATAGTAGATTAATTGTCGAAGGGTCGGTCGCTTCAGCGAGGCATCTTTTCTGACCGACTGTAGTGTGTACTTGCCGTGTAGTGTAATTTGTATTTAATTTAATAAATAGTAATTTGTATTTGTGTAATTTGTATTTAACCTGATTTGATCGTAATTGTATTTGTTATTTGTTAATTAATTTGTATTTGAACCGCGTTGTTAATTGTATTTATTAGTGATGCCGTCGCACAAGCAACCGGCGCTTCGCCTGCAGGCGGAGCTGCGCTAGGCCGCGAACGCCCATATTTTGATAGGTCGATCTGTTCGGGTTCATAGTTTAGGGAAGCGGCTCGAGCAGGTCGATGCCCGAAGGGCTGTAGTGGAGGAGGCTTGCACAGAGCTTTTGGCCTCGGATGCGAAACAGGAAGTCCTAGACTCCTGCCTCGTGGACTACGAGAAATTTTTTTCGCTCACGGACGATTTGATCGAGGCGGGGGCCAAGTATGCTAAGGAAGCACGTGAAGCTCTGATGAGTGGCCTGCCCGAGTCCCCTCGGAAGCAGCCTACTCAGCCGGAGCTGTTAGGACGATTCCCAACTCTGGACCTGCCACGGTTCTCCGGGGTCCTCTCCGACTGGATGACCTTTGTAGGGCTTTTCGATAGCCTAGTGGACGCCCGGAGGGATTTGACACCAAGCCAAAAGATGGCGTACCTCCTAGCCTCACTGGAGGGGGAGGCCCTGGGCGTCGTCGGCCATTTGAGATTGTCGGACGACGCCTACCAGACTGCTCGGGTCCTCCTCGCCGAAAGATACGCCAACGTCCGGCGAGTTTGCGGACGAATACGTCAGGCAGCTTCTAAGCCTCCCACTGCTTAGGGATCGGGCCAGGCTATGTCCGGACCTCTTGAATCCAGTCTTGGTGGCCTGTAATGCGTTGAGGCGGCTGGATTTGCCGGTGGATGAATGTTCCTTCTTGTTGCTCCACATCGTGCTGTCCCGCCTGCCTCTCGACCTTAGGATACATTTTGAAGAGAGGTATGGCGGGGACGGCGCCTCCTATATTCCGCCCTTTAGTGATCTGCTGCGGTTCTTGGAGGAGCAGTGCCGGCAGATTGAGAACGCGGCGGCCACCGTTGACGACTTACAAGCCGTGCCCTGTGAGAGGCGGGATCCGCCGGGCAAGTCGTCGTCAATCCCCCTAAAGCCGATCGGAGCTTCCGCGGGAGGGCGCCGGTCCCTACCATCTTACAGTGGCCTAGTGGCCAGGGAGGAGCCCCCCTGTTTCTATTGCCGAGCCTCCGATCACCGGGTGACGTCGTGCCCGAAGTTATTAGGTAAGCCGGTTCCGGCTAGGCGAACTATCGCCAAGGAGCGCCGCTGGTTTTTTTTTTATAGGATAACGGTGACAAACGAGCACACAGTCCACCTGATGGTAAGTGGTTGCTGCGGCCCATAGACATCTACATCTATCCTCGTTTGCGAATCAAAATGCAGATGCGTTGCCACCCGTAAGGACTAAGATGGAATGCCTCATTTCCAGTAAAAAGGGCCTCCGGCCACCTGCACTCCCCAAGCGAAACGCAGAGGTAAACCTCTACTTCACGCTGGTATTGTGTGAGGTCGTGGTACCACCCCGGTTCGAGCCGGCCCATCCGTGTGACAGCAAAAGCTGCCGCGTGGCTCTACCACGTGAGAGCAAAAGCTGCCGCGTGGCTCTACCACGTGCTACTCTTGTTTGGAAGGGCACCTCCAGCGAGGCTGTCCGCACCAGCGGCCCTGTCCGCATTGCCAGGGCAAGCACCATGCAGTTTTGTGCCTGGGTGCGAACGGCGCTTCCTCTTGGGGCTCTCCTGGGCCCTTGACCCCCACGGGCGGGGGCGCTCAGCCACGCCCTCTGTCGGGCGACGCTCGGCGCTCGCCTG